AACAATAAAAAAGCTTTAGTTACACATAGACTAAGTTTTTATTCACTGTAACATTTATTCATTACAGCTTTTTCTAAGCATTATTTATTTGGTGACATGTTATGTATCGTCATCAAACGGGCAAAAAATTTGGTAGCTTTCAATACCTTTGAAAACAACCACAAAACAACTACTGCCGATATATATGACTTTAATATAAACAATTCTGAATCCTATAACACTGCCTTTGACAATTTTTTTTTCATTCTGCTGGTAACTTTTCTGCCGTTACCAACTTATAAATGCTTCCTATCACACTGAACTGCACTTTAATGGTCAAAATTCAGTGTTTAAAATTCATTATTATTGCTCCAATTAACAACTGCAAAGGCAGATATGAAATGCAGTTATGAAAATTTACATAACTGTATTCCATATCTGTTTTTGCATTTGTTGCTTCTCTATACTGCTCATCATAAAACATACAATAAAGAAGCGCTCACCAAAACTTGTGCAATCAGATATATCAGAAACATTGAATTGAACAGTTTCACGTACTGTTTCATCTCCAACAATACTTTTAGCGGTATTAAATACACCAACTTCTGCTCTTAGTATTTACCCAACTAATCTCAAAGCAAAAAAAATTAAAAGTTCAAACATAACAGTGACGTCAAAGACTGAAGCAAAGAGCTGTGAAAAAAAACACCTTTCGTTATGCGGATATAGCAATCAACCTTTGAAAAAAAAAAAAAACATTTTTTGCGGTAGTAGATAGGAACACTTATAACCGGAAAAAAAAAGAATAAATAAAGATTAGTCTAAAGGCTAAGCTTCGCTGAACAGAAAACCTGATCTATAGAGGTTTTGAAGTGTTTGCATGTTCGCCAGAGAGATTGTTTAGTTTTCGGCGTTAAAGTTGGTCGAAGATCAGACCTTATGTTACTGAATCACTTTCTTTGCCTGACATTGATTGAATAAAATAAACCTTTGAAGTCAGAACATTTGTAAAAAACAATTTTCATCTTCCGCTTTTTCTCGTTTCACAAAAAAAAAA